GAAAAATAATGTTGAAATATAGAAAAGAATTGAAAGAGTAATATGAGTTTCATTTGTTTTTAGTTTGTGTGCATTTTTGTATTCTACAAGTATATACATTTATGTGGATGAATAGAGCATAAATTATTGCTAGTTAAGATGGCAAGACGTGTGATATTCATTCCATGAGGTTATGGGTTCAAACCTCTTTCTATGCGTTTTTTTTAGTTAATATTCTCATGAATTCAGTTCAGTTCAGTTCAGTTTAGCTGAGTTCAGTTCAGCTGAGTTCAGTCAATGAGAACAGGCCCTAAGTATAGATATAGATATGTCATGTCACCAATATGTGTCATGTGTTACTTCTTTTAGAGGAATAAATATGTCACGTCTCCCCCCACAACATGAATTAAAACGTTACAAGACTTACCACCTTAGCTATCAATTTATTATAATTATTGACACAATAAAATTATACGAAGTATATAACTTGGATAAGATTGTTAGTCCTTCATTTATTGAACAAATGTATCATATCATAACATAATGTAATAGCTTTGATTTTTTTTTTTTTTTGACAATAGCAAACTAAACGAGAAACGGAAAGAAAAAACAGAACACTAAGCTAAAAACTACTTAAAGTGGTCCTGCACTCATTTGCCAAGACATGTGCCTGTCGGACTTGATCCCTGCTAACCTTCCAAACCATACAGCTTTGTAAGTGCTCCGCCTGTTGTTGAAGTTCTTGAATAGTCCAGTAGTATCGCATATCACCTCCTTGCGGTTTCTGAATCAAGTCCACCACCTCACTTGAATCTGTATAGATCCAGATTCTCCTAAAGCCTTTACCAATTGCCCATCAAATCCCTCCTAGACAGGCCATTAGCTCTGTATATAGAGCCGGATCTGCTATGCAAAAACCTCCCCCTCCATCCTCATAATCTTGATCCGGCAGAGCAAAAGCCCATCCAAAACCTCCAATCCCCGACTGTTTGTGCCACGAACCATCACACATGATTGTAACTTCCCAGTTGTTGTCAAAGTCACTAGTTGGGCTGTCAGTTCTGCCTCCCATACAAGCTCTCTTGAAGCCCGATAGTGGTCCCCCCATGGGCCTCATCTCTTGTATCATTCCCAAATTCCGCACATCCAGTTTCAAGAAAATAGATAGATCCTTGTTGCCCTTCTCAAGATGTCGCATAAGCACTGACAAATGGTCATTATCATTTCTGAACACTCTTCCATTTCTAGCCATCCATAGACCCCATAACACACTTATAAAAGTGGTAATACAGTCACTAACAATCCCATCCTCGCTATAAAATAGCAGGATAAATCTATGGATCCATTGTCGCAAAGGAGTAGACCCATCAATTTCAGAGCTGTTATGCAATGAGCAGTTAAGCCAAGCATATATAGCCAGAGAACATAAACGAAAAAGGTGTTGTGAATCCTCATCACTGTCACCACATACCCCGCAAAGAGCATCTACTAGAATCCCCCTATGCTGGAAATTTGATTTAATAGCTAAACCATTTAAAATCAATTTCCAAAGGAATAGGCTCCACTTCGGGGGAAGCCTTAACTTCCAGATCAGCTTGAAAAAATCATCCTCCCTCGAAACGTTAAAAGTCTCCCTTTCCTGTTGACATAAGAAAGCGTAACCTGTCTTGACCGTGTAGACCCCTGATTTATGACCTTGCCAATACAAAAAATCCTCCTTCTCTGTTGTGGGAAGCTCCAATTCCAAAATCTGCCTTGCTGATCCCCACTCAAACTTTTGCCTAATTACCCCTGCATCCTACCCTCTTTCAGGGTAAGGTTTCATTAACTCTCTGACCTTCCCCGTCCCTATCCTACTAAGCACCTGATTGGAATTGAGGACAGGCACCACATCGTTCACCCATCTCATACTAGCGTATTTAACCTTTTCACCATTTCCAATCTTCCAAGCGAAACCATACACCAACTTGTTTGCCACTTTATGAAAACCCTGTCTTCCCCATGAAGCATTAACCCTTAGCGTGGCCGAAGGCCTTCCATCATACATTGTGCAAGCATGCACAAGAGAAAAAGAGCGGGCTATCAATAGCTGAGGATTATAGTGCATCCTAGCCACTTGCCTAAATAGTAGAGCATCATTAAGTTTTGCCATAGCCCGAACTCCAAGCCCTCCCATTCCCTTCGGTAGATGTAAGATGTCCTTCCCTACCCAATGCATTCCCTTTTCTCCATTTCTTGCCCAAAAAAACCTTGCAATGAGAGAGTCTATTTTATTAACTATGGACCCCGGAAGCTTGAAGCATTTCATAACATGAGAAGAAATGCTTATCAAAACTGAGTTGATCAAAATTAGTTTTACTGACTGAGAAATCCTCATCGCATCCCAATTCGTAACCCTCTACACCACTTTATCCACCAAAAACTGAAAAGAGTCCTTTTTCCCCCGAGCTAGATCAATTGGGGCACCTAGATGAAGCCCTAAATTCTGAACTTGGCCAAACTTTAGAATCCTCTTGAACTCCTCTACTTGGTGAGCTGGCACCAATTTACTGAATTTTACAAAAGATTTTCCGAGATTTAAACGCTTCCCTAAGATATCACCAAATCTGTCAAAAATATTCATCAGGTTCTTAAATGATTCCTCTGTAACCTGCAGAAAAATTGTATTGTTTGTTGATTTGATGAAAAAATATAATAATTTTACTTTTCTATTTAATACTAAATAGCTTTTGAATAATTTTAATCATAACATACAAAATATCGAATATGATTCTTTCTAATAGAAATTTTTTATCATCAGAATGTTAAACTTTCAAGATGATTATCCATACACTAAGAAAAAAAATACCGAACATGATTACCATATTAAACCACAAACTAACAATTCAAGGCATCACTCGAGCCACATAGTAGTTAATATAAGGACAAAGCGTTCGAGAGTACATAATGAGAGATCTCCGTGGGATAATGATTGAACCACACTTGCTCAGTTCTAAAAGGGATAACTCTAGCAAGGTGATGAGCAACAAAATTGTCCTCCCTCTATACATGTGACCAGAAAAAAGAATTGAAAGAACTACTAAAGTAGAGAATTCCTCTAGTACACCATCAAAAGTCAGAAAAGAAAATGGTTGCCTGTGATAGGCTATTGATGAGGACTTTGGCAATCAGACTCAAGAATCACATTTTGCAAGCCCCTGTAGCAAAGCTTGAGAACCATAACAAGAGCTTTACCCCCATCAAGCCCTTATTCTCCTAGATGCCTTTAAGAGTACATCCCCCTTATGATCACGAGCCATTGCAACCATACTAACCCAGCCCTCCTCAGCTAAGCTTGCGTCAGAGTTGAGCTTTACTATCCCCTACACCCACCTAGAGGGGTTATTTGATTGTCTTTGCTCTATCGGCCTGGTACCATGGATCTTCTTTGTATCACTATCAAATTCATCCACCATTCACTCCATTTTTGCTAAAAGAACATTATTTGGGGTAGTAGCTCCTTTAAAAATCTTTTTGCTTATTTCAGCCCAGATCATCCATGCTAGAAATGTTACCCCCCCCCAGCCCACTCGGGAGTGGGGTGGGGGGGGACCTTGCCTTTGCTTCAATTTAACATCCTTATTCGATCTTCCACCTCAACAGCAAACGCAAAACCAAGTTCCAATTGTGTCATTTAGTATACCTCCACTTCCACTCTCTTCCCACAATTCTTGCACACGCTCACAGTCAAAAAGCGCATGACCAGTAGTCTCCTCTACCATCCCGCACCATGGACATATAATATTGTCAATTAAATGGCGATATTTTCAATAAAGCTCTAGTGGATAAAGTGTTTGTACAATGTTATACAAGTGACAAACTTTTAGCGATGCTTCAAATCCCCTAATTTTCACTCACGCTTGATGAGAGTCATCTAAATTGTATCCTTTCCCCCAACATGTACATTGTTTTGCCGAATATATGTCATCCTTTGTAAAAGCCCGTGTAAGTACAACTTTGGTTGTCATCAAGTTCACAGGGATTGATAGATACATTTTTATCGCACTCATTAAAAATTTCTGCAATAATACTCTCCCCTCCTTAGTCTTCTCATCAATAAGATCACTCACCGTGGTGAAATCCCTCTAAACCTGAACTTGTCACAACTCTGTCCTCCGAATCTGCTAGCCAAGGTTCGTGCCAGATTTTCACCTCCTTGCCACTCTTAATAAGCCAAATACTCCTCCAAGAGTAGGTACCCCCCAAACCCCAAGTAAGCATCAAGAAAAGTGATTTTCAGATAATATTTAGCTAGCCTTCATTACTTTTCAAAGCAACAAACCTTCATTATGAACAAGTCTCGACGCTTGTTTCCCCAAGATAGCATCGAATCTTTATTATTGTAGACACCCAAATGTGTCTCCCCAAAACCAAACCCAGTAATGAATACCTTTCACGTCATTTGATTATCGAACGAATTGAAAGTGTGAAAAATCTAGTGATACGATTGTTTTTATTAAAATATATTTCTTTCTGTTTTTTAAAATGTGCTCTATTTATGAAAATAACCAGTCCAATATAGTTTGGTACATGATAAGGGTCCAATAATAGTGTAGTTGGATCGGACTCGAAAAGAGTTTTTCAACGATATATTATAAACCCAATTTCGATGAATAATGAGGAAGTTATGACCAAAATACTAAATTAGGCCAGAAATGAATTTTATATGCGGCCCAATGATCTAGAGGAAGACCTATTAATTATTATTCCTAAAGTTATTAGGATTGACTTTAGTCTTCTAGAATATCTAGAAGGTTCTTTTAAATTCTAATGGAATTACACTAGGTGAAAAAACGTAATTGGCACCGGTTTCAACCGGTGCCAATGTGGGGGGTGCCAATTACTTGGGTGAAAAGCCATCGGTTCAAACCGGTGGCAAAAATAGTTAACCGGTGCCAAAAATAAATCCAAATTTTTTTTTTAATTACTTTTGGCACCGGTTAACCGGTGCCAAAAATCCCCAAAATATTAATTTTTTTTTATTTTTTTTTACATTATTGGTATTTTGTTACACATAAAATTATTTGGGTATTTGGTATTAAAGTATATGAATCTAGTTGTAGAGATTAATATACATAGAACACAAAATGTAAATCGAATATCAATCAATATAGATCAATTACAACATATAAATAAAAAAAAAATTACAGTATAAATCCAAAAAAAAAAAATTACAGTATAAATAAAAAAAAATTTACAGTATAAATAAAAAAAAATTACAACATCACAATTAAACTTGCATGTTGATTCTTGCGTCAATATACCTGCACCAATTACAACCAAAAAAAGAACGATTAAAATAATTACTCGAATCATCCAGAATCCCTAAAAGAAAAAACCTCAAAAAAAAATCGAAACACCTAGAAAATAAAATTAAAAATCGATTAAAAAAAAGAAAAAAGAAAAACAAGAACAAAAACCAAGATTTTAAAGAAATCGTGTAAAATAAAGAAAAAACCCAGAAAATAAAAAACAAAATTCGATTAAAATAAAACAAAACCAAGAAAATATAAAAAAAACGAATTAAAATCACTTAAAATAAAAAAAAAATCGATTAAAAAAACCCAGAAAATATAAAAAAAAGAATTAAAATCACTTAAAATAAAAAAAAAACGATTAAAAAATCGATTAAGACAAAAACCCAGAAAATAAAAAACAAAAACGAAATAAAATCGATTAACATAAAAAATAAAATCGATTAAACTAAAAAAAAAAACAAAAAAAACGAATTAATATGTATTAACATAAAAAAATCGATTAAAAAGCCGATTAAAACAAAAACCCAGAAAAAATAAAAAAGAAAACCGAATAAAATTGATTAAACCTCGAATTGGTGGTGGTCTTCGATTAAAATGGTGTTGCATGTGGTGGTCTTCGATTAAAATGAACTTCGTGGTGGTGAAAGTTTTGGTCTTCGAATCAAAGAAAGAAGGAGCACTTCGTGGTGGTGAAAGTGTTGTTCTTAGTTTCGTGGTGGAGAAGGAGGTGAGGGAAAAGGAGATCGAGAAAGAGAAAGATAGAGAAAGAGAAGGAGGAGTTAGGGGTGCAGGAGACGGAAGGAGGAGGAGAGGAGAGAGAAAGAGGAGGAGAGGAGAGAGAAACGGCGAGAGAAAGGGAATGAAGAATTAGGTTTGGGGTTGGGGAATGAGGAGAAGGAGCCGATTTTTTTTTTAATAAATATAAGGGCCGGTTCTCAAGGGCATCAGTTCAAACCGGTGGCCTTTATGTTTTTGCCACCGGTTTGATGTGAACCGGTACCTTTTACTCTGTTTCAGCTTCCCTCCAATTTTGTAGCCCATTTTTGCCACCGGTTTGGACTGAACCGGTGGCAATTAGGGGGTGCCTTTTTGATATTTTCTACTAGTGTTAGGATTAATAATTATTATTTTAAAGAGTTTTATTTGGAATAAAATAAGTGTTTTATGATAAATCTGATCTTAAAATTGTTTAACGCAAATTCTAATTACTTAATTATATTAGGAAAAGGATTCCATACAAAGCGCGTTATATCTTTTAATTAGCGCCAAACGACAGAGTTTGTCGTCGGGCGCAGTGCCTGTCGCCTGGCGCGACAGAAGTTTTTTTTATTCCGAATGGGACTCGATTTCTTTTCGATCGTTTTCCGGACTATTTTTAAAATGAATAGGGTCCTTGGCCTCATGTGGGGAATATTTCAAGCGTTAATCCCCTAGCTTGAACCCCACTATGATCATACACTAAAGTACGGTGGCGTCCAAAAGGGAAAAAGATAGAGCAAAAGAGTCGCCAACAAGTTTTAGGAACTTGTAAACCGTTCACGAGGTGAAGGTTACACCCCTTAACGATTCAAGAGATCGTCAACTCCACAAGGTCTAGAACCAAATAAGGGTTCGGGGATGAATGTACAAATCCATCCTAAAAGAGATTGGACCTGCCCTAATAATAGGCCTCTACTTTATTCAGATCGTATTCATGTGCGCTTTCTGACTAACATATAATCAATAGGTTTAACCCTAAACATGTTTAATCTATGTTGGTTGAATTTAATGCGCAAATAAAACTATTATTGACGATCACTTGAATTATAATCAAATTAACCCTAAACAAGATTATTAATATCTTATTAAGCGTGATTACAAGTACCAATTCCCTTTAAACATGCATAAAAGGTGTGATCAAGCAATAAAAATAAATATCAAGCAACATAATAATAATATTCATAAAAATAATAATAATCATGATCATAATAATCATCACGTTAAAGCATAGCAAGATCCTAGGCATGATACTAACAAGATTAATAACAAACCCTAACATGTCACTAAGCAATAAAAATCAAATCTTTAACCCTAAAATGATACTAACAATCACAAATATTAGGAAGAGAATAAAAGGCATCGTAACAATCATAATTGATATTAAAATTACCCTAGACATGATACTAGGAATATCATAATAACAATTTAAACATGATTTCTACATCATAATATCAATTAAAACCATTAAAGTACTTACTTTGATGCCTCGTACCTCTTTCTAATAACAAAATACACACTGCACATTAGTAACTTCAAGGAAAATAATAAACAAACAATTAAATTAAATAATTGAAAGAGAGATTTGGGACCAAACCCTCAGAAATTAAACCTTTCATGTCTAGGGCGAAGGCAACTTCGAATACGGCTAGGTGTTTCTAGATCTAATGAATGCGGAATTTTGTATTTGAAAAGCGAGTTTAGAAAAAGAGATGGATTAATAGAGAAGAGAATGCGAGAATTGATGATTGCGAGTGAAAACTGATTGTAGGTGAATATAATTGAAAAGCTGGTTATTGATGAATGAAAACGGTGTTTTAATACATTATTTATAGAGAAAATCAGCCAAAAAGATAAAATTATCAAAACAGAGCATTGACGCACGTGAAACAGAGCTGGTGCAACGCTAGCTAATTGGCGCCAGGCGCCAATGCCTGGCGTTAGGCGCTAACCCTGTTTTTGAAGCGTTTTCTAAAATCAGATAAATTTTGCCGTACGGGAGGATAAAATCGTATCTTTTCCTCAAAAATGTTCTTTGATTTTAATTAAAACTCTGAAAAGTCAACAAAAGTCAATTTATCAATGCTAATTGAATTGGGAATGAAAAGAACCTTTTAGAAGAATCTAGAAGACTAAAACCATTCCTAATTGCATTAGGAATGATAAATCATATTAGGCCCTCCCCTAGATCATTGGGCCGCATATAAGGCTTAAACCGGGCCCAGTTTAGTAAATTGGCCATAACTTCCTCAATATTCATCGGAATTGGGTTATAATATATCGTTGGAAAGCTCTTGTCAAGCCCCATCCAACTACACTACTATTGGATCCATATCATGGTCCAACCAAACTGGATTGGCTGTTTTCTTAAAATAAATTTTCAAAAACAGAGATAAGAGAAAAGAAATTAAAACTATCCGCAACACTAAACTTTCCACACTTTCACTTCATTTGATTATGATTCGACGCGAAAGGTACTCATCACTGGGTTTGGTTTTGGGGAGACACAAATGGGTGTCTACAAAAGACTGAGTTTGGAGAAATGCAAGTTTCGAAAACAAAAGTCAAAGTATCGATAGGGACGGAGAATGATTCTGAACGTTCTGCGATCCTAAATAACTCTTGCAACGCCGATACGTGCAAAACTAGCGTTAGTTAAACAGATAAAAGAGTTAAGAAACGCGTATCTTGCACCGTCGAGCACACGTCTCTGAAAGTAACCGATTGTTTTGAGGACCTCCTACAAGCTAGAGAATGCCATCCCGCTTGAAAACCGCTACGCTTGTAACTACTTCCAATATAGAAGACTGCTTCACCTGAAACGATCCTCCTCCGCTTTGATAATATTCCACATCCAAGGGAATACTATCGAAGATTGCTTCTCTTGAAACAATCCTCATTCGCATTGATAATATTCCACGTCCAAGGGAATACTATCGAAGATTGCTTCTCTTGAAACAATCCTCAATTGTTTGTGACAACTCTCCATAATCCAGGGAACGCCACCTTGCTGTTTCGATGTTCACTCGTCTCTGAACAAAGAGCTTCTTTTTGATATGTTCACGCGTCTCTGAACAAAGAGCTTCTTTTTTATATGACTCCAATTTCCGCTGTGATAGTCTTCGAAAAGATCACTGCTTTTTAATCCTTAATGCTGCTATGCCAGTACGTCGGCGCTTTGCTGCTTCTGAACCAGTATGTCGGCAATCCTCTTTTATTTGGGAATAGTTGACAACACAACTCTTGTATGATGTATGACAATCCGATTTAGGGAAAGTTGTTAATCCCACGTAATAATCCATCCTTGGAAATGTTGCCACGATGAAGCGACAATCCGTATCTCGGAAAATTTGCCAAAATCCAATTTTTGGAAAAGTTGCCAATGCTTCGTAACAATCTTTCATAAGAACTTTGCTACGATCGACAATCCACATCTTGGAATATAACTCTTGAAAGCAATCCACCTTGGAAATTTGCCAACGCTATGCGACAATCCTTTTGGGAAAATATTGCCACTATTGACAATCCGCGTCTTGAAACATTTGCAAAACAGAGTCGATTGACAATCCACTTCGGGAAAATTTGCCACTTATTGAAATGAATGACAATCCACGTTGAGGAACCTTTGCCAAAATTTATGATGAGTAGAGACCTACGACAATCCTTTGGGAAATTTTGCCATAGGGAACTGGGTGTATGACAATCCAATCTCGGAAAACTTGCCAGCGATCTATGAATGTATGATAATCCGAACTTGGAAACACTTGCCAAACAAAGAAGGAGCACGACAATCCACGCTTGGAAACTTTGCCAGAGATATCAATCCAATCTTGGAAAAATTATCGTTGAAGAAGATGCACGACAATCCATTTTTGGAAATATTGTCAGTTGGGGATGACAATCCAATTTTTGGAAACCTTTGTCGTTTAATAAGAATGCGCGACAATCCATATTTGGAAATATTGTCATTTGAGTGCTTGCTTTTGAACCGATTGTAATGAGCCAGTGTTTTAGGCGCATAAGCTAAATGAGACGATTTTTTTTTGTCAGATCAATCACTTACTACGATTGTAATCGAGCCGACTACTAATCATGTCAATTTGCTTATAGGGGCTAACTGGCGTACCAAGGAACCCAAAATTGATGTATGAAGTCGAAATAATCATTCTGAGAGGCTTCGAGCTCTATCGCTGCTAAAATATCGCTGGCGCCAAGAATTGGCTCTGTCGCCAGACGCTGAGATCTAGCGCCAGGCGCTGAAATCTGTTGCTAAACGCCAAATGTTGTTGCCAGACGAAAGCCTTGTTGCCTGGTGCTGGAGTCGGGTCTTCCCTACTCTGCTCTTGCTGCCGTTGTTGCTTGGTTTTGCTCCAAACTTTGAGCTTGGTCGTTTCCTTTCAACCAAATCCGCTCAAATCTTTTGTAAATTAAAGCTCTTCATCTCTAATTTACTGATCTATGTAACTCCTTTTATCTTGGAGGAATCTCATGTGGCATATTTGCGGTTTTTTCGAAAAAAATCCGGGAATGTCCTCGCTTGCTGGGATGCACCTGCATTTATATCTTTGACTATAGGACTTTGCTTATCTTTCTTTAGGTTTAAACTAATGTTTAGTGTTTTTTGACTCATTGACTTGTCATGACTCAAGGTAAGACGACTCACCTCATGTGACTCGTGTGTGCATAGTCTTGACTCAATGTGATAACACGACATGACTCAATGTGTACATGACTCGTGTGTGCATTGTAATGTGATCGTGCGACTCGAAAATGCAAAAAACAAAAAATTTCTGTCATTTTTGTGGAGTGTACCGACTCTCTTCCGAAAAAGAAAGACGCGAAAAAAGAATCGAAGTTTTCGAATGCATGTTGAATGAGCTTATCAAATGTTGTTTCTCACAGTACAAGGATTGTAACATCTTAAACTATCCTAGTTGACTTGATAATGAAAGTATTTAGGTAACTTAGGCACGGAGGCTAAGTACTTCATACTTCGTAATGCGATGATGATTATGATTGATGAGTGATGTTGATATGACAAGGCATGCTTCAACGTGTGTTAAGATTCCATGACAATGGGTTCCTAAGGGAAGGCATATATGGTCATGTATCTGTGATGTGTGTGAAAGTGACACTAAAGTTAGGCCGCAAAGGCTAAGTGTGTGGAAAAATATTATTATTAGAAGAGTCAAATAATGGTGACTCTTAGGCTAGGTAAGCTAATGATGCAGGGATCAAGCCCCCAAGTCTAGCTCTAAGTAAATAGGGATGAGCACAGGGGATCCCTTGATATGATCA